TGCTGTATGGGGTCACAATAAGCCAGATCACATTGACAGTTTTTATGACTCCTATATCTTTGCTCATGTTTTCCACACTTGGAAGCATACTAAAAAATACAAAAAACAGTCTCAAATGCATTTCATTTACAAAAATAAATATATCTTTCATTTCCTTTTTGCTTTAATCTGACAGTCTGTTAGAGTGCCACAAACCTAATCATCCCTTTTTTTCTGCCTCCATCAGTATGGATGCATGCCTATGAATTTCAATGTGCATCTGTGTGATTTGGGGATAGGGGAAGCTCAGTCAATCAAAATACCAAAATAACAGTTTGAGATCAGGTTCTAAATTAAGTCCCTCTGGATGTCATAAACACAGAGGGTTCTTTTTTTCTCCTTCATATTCTCCAGAAGGATTCTCTATTTTGCTTTCATCTCTCTGACTGACTGAAGACTCGGATCCCTGGTGGAGCTCAAAAAGCTTACATCAGCTCTGATACCACGAATGGCGTTTAATCAGCTCCATCAACAGCCAGAATACACACAGCCCTTCGAAAGCAGAGAGAGATAAAAAGGTCGGAGGTTCTGTCTGCACCATGCCACTCGGTACCGCAGGAGATTAACAGGATCTTACAACACCGACGCTTCTGTTTTCTGATTTTTCAGCTGTTTCACTGGGTACGCCACAAAACTGACACATTGAGAAAGTGCACACTTACAAACAGAAAGAAGAAAGAGTGTATCTTCTGTCTTCTCATTTTGAGCAAAGAAAAAAAAACACTTAATATGCTTGCGAACAACAGAAAATAAATATTTTGTCCAACTCCATTTTTTTATTACTTCTGGTTTCTGGTAAAGGATGACATCCACTGGTTCAGTCACTTACTTCAGAGGACCAAGAAAATCTACTGAACATTTCAGGTAACCACCAGAAAACATGAGCACACAGGGAGAAGAACTTTACCAATAAATGTCATTTTTAAAATAATATATTTTAATAATACCAGTGCTTACACTGTTACACTCTGTATATGAATCAGACTTACAGTATTGTATATCTTGTCAAGGAACAAGTCGAGGTTTATTCCATGCTGAAAAGAAGAAGAGAAACATAATTTTACTGCTGTGGAGCCTTCTTCAGGTGTGATATATAATGATATATCTTGTCACACATTTGAGTTGAATGGATGATTAAAAAATAATCATATAGCTTAAAATATTGATAATTTCGTTGTCTTTAATTCTACTACATCTTTGGTCCATTGTCCTTCCTTTAGTAATTCCGATTTTAACATTTCAATTTCCTGTAGAACAAAGATCATAGTCACTTAAGCCTGGAGGTTTTTCCCAAATCAAATAGCAATGAAATCTTGTATAAATCAGGACTCTGTCAGTGTTAATCTTTGAAGCTACATATGAGAATATTCCTGAACATTAAACATGGTATTTAAAAGTTTCAAATTTATTTTGCACATCCTTATTTTGAAGGTTTGCATATTTTATTTTTTATGACTAGATATTGTTATTTGTTGTCTGTCTTCCCTTTCTTACTGTCAACTGAATGATAACACCTTAATCTACTTCATGGCTATCCTGGGATCAGACCAAAAAAGATGGTTTACTAGAGAACCCATGAGCTGATTACTTTCAAAGACCAAGTTGCACTTTTAAAAACGACAAACTAAAGCAAATTGGAGGTTGGAAAAATAAAGATATTAAGAAAATTTCATCATGAATCCTCAGTAAAGTATGTAAAAGAAGGCCATTGGCAACTTGAAATGAATAATTTAACACATTTCAAATAATTAAAAAAAGCTGCAACTGCATCAAGTAACATGTTAATCAGCTAATCCAAATCATGAAATTTTAGTAGTCAGTTTGTAGATTTGTGATGTTTTCACTCCCAACATGTGTCTGTCAACATGTTACATCACATCACATCAGTTTCTGGTCACAAACTGACATTCTCCACCACTAACTGTGCCTTATTATTCATAAGAAGAGATATTTCTGTCTTTTGTCTGTATACAGTTGAAGCACTCCAATTCTGAAAGCTGTTAATAAGTATAATAATGCTATCATAATTTCTTATTATTAGTTATGATTATATTAATATTGTGGTGTTTTTTAATTTGTTTTGAATGTGTTTCACTGTGTACATATTTTGTTAAATAGTCTGGGTGAGAAATAAACATTTTAGGAGGGTACCTCTGTATGTAAGGTCTATTTGCCTACATATTATACGATTTCAAAATGAAATGTTTTTCTATAGTATTTACTAACAAATATTATAATGCTTATAATGTAACTGCTATCACATGACTTATGATATGCCCCCCTAAAGTGTGTAAAATGTTAAATATTGTTCTTTTGGAAGTTTAAATGTGCAGATTTTTATTTTAAAAACTTGCTTAAGAATGTGTAACAGCCTTTAAATATAAAAATAATGAAATATTAAAAGTTATCACAGATAGAGTGGACATTGACAAACTATTTTACAGATAATGAGAAAGATAAATGATTTCAGCAAATAACAATAATGATATATGAGATATGTGGTTTACTTTTAACGTGTATTAACCTTTCTTTAAAGCTCAAGTTGTTTGTAGTGTGGTTAGAAATGGTCTTCTGTATGTTCTGGTGTGCTTTGTGAAGATTGTTACTACATGTTCATACTAGTCCAGTAAAATTGTAATACTTTGAACTGTTTTAAGTCTTTGAACTATGTGATCAGCTCCTTCTCCCCTTATTTGCAATAATTGGATCATCAAAGCAGCAATAGATCAGATTAATCTCCAAACACAATCCCAATAAAAGCTGCACTTTATTTTTAAATAAATAATAAATAAATGTACACCCTGGGGTAAATTTGTTTTCTTAAAGAAAGACCCTTACAAGAATATGTGTCCATATTCTTCTATTTTTCTTATTGCTTATTACTTATTGCTCTTTAATTTTGTTTATCCTAAAACAGTATTCTCTGTTTATTAATTGAAAATTAGTTTGCTTTGATACCCAATTACTTCAGGTTCCTTAGAAGTTGTGGGAGCAGTTAGTTTAAGTGAAGAGGATGCTGACAGGAGGTATTCAACCCTATTGCTGAGCTATGGTTCAGTACAACATCAGTTGAGGAACTGAATTGCCATAGGAGCTTTTATGATTAACAAATGTACTTAAAGAGTAGACTAAACTTTGGAAAAAAACTTTTTACAAATATCTTTGTGGCTATTTACACAGTTCTCTTTTGACAGAAAGCAAGGCTTACCAAGGCTGTAATATCATAGATACCACCAGTGTAATTCTACTGTTTCTGCTAGCAAGAAGACATGCATTTTCTCAAAGAAAAGTTATAAAAGTTATATAAAGAAAATTAAACCAATATTAAAATACTGAAAGCAAAAATATGCCTGTTATTACTCCATATAAATGTAAAGACACGGATCTTACATTGTCTCTGTCCAAATCCTAGCAGTTGGACTGGCTGATGGCACAGAAAAGAAGTGCAAGTGTTCTGAATAATGTTCTTGCAGATTCTGTGTTCAGATATAGGCCATTCATCTCAATCTCAGAATTATTTTACTCAAAAAAGAAGTTGCATGGATTCTACTGTATATGTTAAAAACTTTTCATATCATAAAATTCATCATCAAGGATGGTTTTCTGGTGTTAGATGATATGAGTTTTAAATTAAAAAAAGCTAAAAGGAATGAAAAAGGACAATTAAAATGCACTTAATTATTGATGGAGGAGAGTGACATCACTGAATGGTAAGGCATTATGTTAACTTAAAAAAAAACTAAATTAATTATTTTCTTAATTATCTTTCTCAACAGAAAAAGACACAATCATCAAAAGAAGTGTCCATTCATACAACAAGCAAGCATCTAAGCATTTCTGAAAAGAAATGTTGTCTATGAGGAGATCAATCATAAGTCATTCTGTATTAGAGCATGTGAGGCTGTACAGTACTGTATGGGAGTGTATTGAGAGGAATTTGGCATTGCACTGTCTCTTATTGGCACCAGTCAAAAGACACTTTCCTTCTGAAAACAAACATCAAGTCTGTCCTCCTTAATGTACACTGAATTTCTTCAACCTTTTGTTCGACTGAAAAGATGCAGATTAGTGTGGTATTATTTGACAGTACATCTGTCACTTTAACATCTGCTGCGCTGACATAATTGTCACAAATCTTTCCTTAAGAGATGTTAGAGCTGCAGTCATTCACCACAGCACTGCTTCCTGAGCAGCAAGTGTGGCTGAGCCAGCTCATGGACTGCTCTGTATGTCATTATAACCAGAGCGGAAAACCTACCTGTGGAGACGCGGCTTAGCTGGCGAAAGCCCAGAGTGCTGTATGCCTTGAGATGTGTCATCAGTTCAGCATGATTTCCACTTGTCTTGCATGTATAAACAGCAACTTTATCAGGAGACATGAAGACAGCTGCATTTAATCTAATGATCAATTTGTGGTATCTGCTGTTTGCAAGAAAACATTTAACTAGAGTGATGATTCACATTTCAGTGCTTTTTAACATAACTGAACAATAAAAGTGTTGCTGAGTTTTGACTGGGTGAAAGTGCATAAAATAAGCCTGATAATGAGGTCTTTAGTATGAGATACTGTATCTTCTACACATCCCAGTGAGTAGAACACACCCACAGTTCAGCATCCCCCAGTTACATTCAGGGGTGAATCTAAGCCCTGTTTTGTTAAATGTAGATGATTCTGAGCTCCACTCTGTTAGATGTACTTTGATATTAGACAAGCTTCAACTGATATTAATAAAGGCTTTTATAATAAAACACCTATCCCAGAACTATACTGCCATGCATTGAGTAGTACAATACAACATATTTTGTTTTAAACAATGACAATTAACTACTATATGCCGTATTTTGACAGTATTCCCTTTAAATATTAGTGTTTGTTTAGCATAAAATAAAAATTGCACAGACACACAGCTATTCATCCACAACAAATACTATGCAAAAGTTTATTTTGATGTTTGGAAATAAGTTACGATTGTATACAGATATTTTAATGCACTTTATTATTTTCGAGATGGTATGCCATCATGTTAACTGTTGGTAATGTGATTAACTTTACACTGGATCATTAGTGTAGCATGTGTGTATTTAAAAAAGAAAAAAAAACAAGCATTACACAAAGTGTTTTTTTAATTTGTTATTATAAAGTTAACATCTATTAGCCTAGTACAGACAGTAGGACACACGTCATAACAAGTGTGCCATCAGTGAAAAACAGACATTGAGGTAACCGTTACAGTGGAAAAGTAACAACACTGTCCCAACAAGTTATTCTTTCTGCAAATATATACTCTTACTAATATATACATTTCTTGTAAAATAAATAATCATAAAAAACATCAGACTTTAGAAATTCAAAAAAAGCCACAAACTAGTTTGTACAAAACTTTGGATTTTAAGACATGCAGAATATTTTTCAAAAGGAAACAAACAAAAAAAAAAGTATAAAATAGACTACAAACTTAAATGTAGTACAGTAGTTTTTAAAATTAAAAGTGTTGCTTGCTGTTGTGACACATTGGATGAATCATAACTAGTGATGCGAAAAGGACTGCAAATACCTGCCATTGCAAATATTCTGATCTGGAGCTCATTACTGAAATCTGAGTCTCAGTATAGTTCCAAAGATCTGATGTTCATAATTTTGTCCTATGGAATGTGCAAAAAAGTGGATAGGTCTTGTTTAATTTAAACAACCAAGCCCACATGACTGAGACAAAATGAGCAATCAATGCATCTGCTTGTGATGTGAAGCCACCACAGGCACAAAGATGTACAGATATTAAAAAGTACTTTTAAATGACTGATGTTTGACAGAACAAAAAAATAACCTGTTACATAGCACAATAATCTCGCAGTATTTTTTTTTATTTGGGAGTATTAGATCTTTTTTATATCTGAATGTGAATTGTGAATTTCGGACAGGATTATACATACAGCATTGAGAGCTGGAAGGCATTGAAAATCAGATTTATAATGTTCTTAAAATATTTGCTGACAGAAAATTTGAATAAATTGGTATAAATGAAAGCAACGTTCTACCTTGTTTGAACTTGTCAATACTGTTTACAGACAGAATCACGCATTAAATCATAACCTCGTGAACTGCCTCCAGTTTAGAACCATTACCATCATACTGTCACAAACAGGCAACACTTTTAAAATATGTCTATCTGGTTAACATATACACATTATATATGAAAACTGAATTAGTACAAAACTTCACATCATTTCATTTTGCTCAAAACTATTTCTACACAATTTCTTTCATAGAAAGAAAATATAGTTTTATAATGTATAGCAATGGCTGGATAGCAGCATTAAAGTGGAAGATATCTGAATTTATGCTTGTCATTTTGTTTTCTGGGAAATATAGCTTTTCTGGTCTGCACGATGGCATGTCTGGTCAGGTAGTGTATGACTATTTATGAGCTATAGGAATGGGCCCAATGCAGTGTGTTTTACAATAGTTCATCACTGGAATGCTCGGAATTAAGTTCAAACAACCATATTTGGCAACTTCTTTTTCCATCTCTACAATTATGCCAGGATTTGCAAGAGTAGAGCAGGTAAATATAAGGGAAGACGTCTCTGTTCATGTTGTGGTTAAAAAGAAACAAATGGCACAGAAATAAATGTATACACCTTAAGAATATATTCACAACATTAGACTTTCATACTTCAAGTTCCATTGAACTATGTCATAAATTAAATTGTTTTTTTTTTCAGGTACCACAGAGTAAATTTTCTATTGCAACAAACATCTTTGGAAATATGAATTCCAGAGTCGGTTTTAACCGTGCAGTGCTCTATTTCATTACAAAAATAAGATCATGGAGAGACAGTTTAAATGCAGTTATGAATTAAAGCAAATTGTAAATATTCCCAATTACTCACGTTTTCTGATTCTTGACTCATGTGTTTCCCTTGCATAATAATGGGATAAAATGCATGTCATAGTTGTGCAATATCCAGGCATAAATTCAAGTCAATAATCTGCCCAGGCAAAAGGACTTATTGATTACATTTTTGACTGCTAGCAAGATTTTTAACTTTTCCAGAGTAACAATAGTACATTAAAGCAGGTTCCTGTTGAATCATTGTCATTGTCAAGTCATCACTGCTCACTTATATTCATAATTTGATTCAGTTTCTGAAATATATCAATTGTCAGGCTAACGCCTCTTATTAATAACCACCCATGTAATTAGCAGTAAAGATTTAAAAGATACAACCATTTCTTGCACTAACTGAACTTGAATAGGATTTAGAACAATTTACAATAAACAACTGTTTCATTCACCAATCATGGACTTTTGTTCCACTTGTGTTTTTACCATTGTAGTCCTGATTTGTTCAAGTACATTGTGTTAATGCGGTTGTTTGACTGTAGCAAAGTGGAAAAATCTTACCCAATGGTTAGTAACTGGTTAACACTATGTTTAATACAAACCAATATTCATTCATGACTTTAAACTAAACTCAACAATCAAACTCAAGAACATTTAAGATCACTAAGTACAAAAGAAAAATGATGCAAATCAGGAACACTTATACTGTAGATATATTTTATCTCAATAGTTTCTAGTGGGGAAGCATAGTGTAGTGGGTAAGTCTCTGCACTCATTAGTGGTGTGCTATGAGTTAAAGTCCCTGTTGCAGACACAGCTGATGTACCTTGAAAGAGGTTCTTTACCCCTATTGCTCCAGTCCACCCAGCAGTGTGAATGGGAACCAGTGTTTGCTGATGGTAGGCCCATGGGGGGAGTCTTGTGCTCTCTGTTCGCTTAACGCCATGGAAAAACAAGGATAAAATCTGGTCTGGTGAGTTGTTGTGGCTCGAATATGGAATTACCTACCTACAGTTTCTAACTAATTTTGAGCAAGAAATAGTAATAGTAGTTAGTCCTTGAAAGTACAAGCACATAATTTATCTTGCACAAAAGATATCGAAAGCTGACCTCTGCATTCTGAGGAAGTCTGACCTCGTTTAATTATGTACAAGGAATGGGCATATTTTTAAGGATAAATAACTAACCTCAATGCACTTTGAAAACTAGAAGCATGTTCCCAGAAACTGTCAAAGATTATATTGGACCTTGCTGTATTTTTACCAAAAGGGAAGACTTGTACAAAGAAAACATTTACATTTTCACAATTGTAGGCCAAGCATTGTTACGCTTTGACTTGAACAATGACTTAGATGCTTCCTAAGGCAGTGCCACATTGGAATGCTCAATGGAACATGTCACAGAAACAGCTTTTTGTGATAATTGTTGGACATTTCAGGAGCGTGAGACATATTTCCTGCCGACCCATTCAATGTCTCTCTGAAAATCCATAAAAAAATCTCCTAGATCCTTTACAGTTCCTTTCCTGCAATTTAGAGAGTAAACTCAACATCCTCATGGGTACTAGGCTTATCAGTTCGCAAGAATATAATGCCATTGGGCTTTCAGTTCAGAGCCTCTGAGAGCCATGGACGCCAACTTTAAGCAAAGCTGAACATCCATAACCTTTGCAGAAATTAAGAGCCATCTTGTATGTTGGTTAGTTTCCTTTGATGGACATCATGACGAAGCATCCTAATAGCAGGGTTTCAATGAGTAAGCCACTGAGGAAACTGTTCTCTGGCTGCATTAAACCAAACCTTTGCCCAGAGAGACATCGATGAGCACCTCAGTCTCAAACTTGCGGCTATCTGTTTGTGTTTATTTTTTCTCAGGGGTAAAAGTGTGACCAGATATAGGAGCTGTTCTTAGGCTCGTTATTTACAGGTGTGAACATCATAGATGCGGACACACTCTTGACAGCTCACATAGCAGCACCAGTGGAAAATACAATGGCATTTCTCTTTCCGTTTCTCAGTTCTTGTGTTGTGGCCTCGCCCACAGCACAGCAGGTCACATCCGTCGATGCCATGGGATGTGACATTGCAGATCCGATCCCGGGTGCCAAATGATCCTGTTTCCGTGTTGGGTTCGCAGAAGTTGGGGGAGCTCTCATAGTAAACCAAGTCACGCTCAGTGGGTGGCTTGAAGAAGGTGTACTTGGGTCTAAGTGTCTCCACCCAGCCCCTGGATTCCCGATGCTTCTCCACGACCATCTCTGATGCACTGTCGTACTTGTCCTTCAGGTAGTCCCCGATCACACGGAAATCTGGCTGAGACCACCAGCAGGTTTTCACCTCACAGCTGCCCGAGAGCCCATGGCACTTACACTTCAGGTGCAAATGATCATTGATAGACTGAAAAAAGAAGAACCCAACAGATGAGAATAGGTGTGTGGAAACCAAATTCTTCATTGTTTCATGCTGACATTTTTGCCATGTCAACTGCTATTGAACTATGGCCTTTCCTATGCAACACTAATGCCTAGCTTCTGTCCCACTAGTTCCTTTATGGTGCTCTTCCTTTGCAGAGATCCGCCACATTCTGATATTATTGAATCACCATGAACAAATGTTATATACTCAATAACAGACGTTTGTCCATTTTGATCAGGTATACAATCCATTAGTTTTCTAACCACTGTATTCAATTTAGGGCCACAGGAAGCAATGGGTGCATGGCAAAATACACCCTTGACAGCAATGCCGGTCAATTGCTGGACACACACAGATACAGACATGCACGCACCCACACCAGGGCTAATTTAGCCAGAAGCCAATTAACCTACCAGTATGCTTTTGGACAGGGAACACAGAGTGGACAAGCAAACCAGGAACTAAACACGGGGCCCCTGCACTGAGAGGTAGCAGCGCTAACCACCGCACCACTGTGCCACCCTCGTTATAGTTTATTTTTCTACCATTTTAAAGGCATTAAGCTACTCAATCTCGTCATATCCTCCACACACGTACAAACATGATATGAGAGAAATATCATCTTATAGTAGTAGTTTAAAAATTGTAGGTTTATTGTCATACATATTGTAATGTTATGTCTATGTTTTCTTTTAAAAAGGCCTCCAGGGAAAAAGAAAGTCTCACAGATGTCAAGATTTTGGTTAATTTAATACAACAACTGGTCCTTATGAATGGGTAGTGAGGGAGTGCTGCAGCATCTGTGTTACATAACAGAAGATCTGAAGAAGTATGATTTGGAGAATTGGCAGTTTTAAATAGGAGGTAGCAGAGAAAGATGAAGATGAAATTATAAAATGGGAGTGTAAATGAAGTAATATTTATTAGTTGCTATTTCTATTTGTGAAAGATATTGATAATCAATATTACCTGATTCTTTAAGAAAGGTTTAAGGGTTGTTTGATCATTAAGCAATGAACAATCAAATGAGAGGGCGGATCTCAATTGAACCCTTTACTATGTTCTTGTATTTTTTTAGTTAAAAAGTAAGTATTTTGATGAATTATTACATTGTTAAATTGAAAAGATTCGTTTTGTTTTATGCCACAGGTAGACACGAGTGCGTGAGATCGTGCGGGCAGTAACTCACCGTACGTCCCGCCTCATTGTTGTGACGGTTCATGGCGGAACGAGCATCAGGGCGGTTCTCTCTGGCGTCAGCAAACTCTCGGGACACCATGCTCCCGAACTCGGCGTCTTCGCTGCAGCCTCCCCATTTCCATCCCTCGCCAGGGGCGCCCTTGTGCCGTGTGTCACAGCCGCAAATCGTGGCGGAGCCTTCGGCGCAGGACCGCGTCACAGCAAAAGCCACACCCGCAGAGGCAATAGCATGTACAAAAGCTGACTCTCTGGTGGCTGAGACAAAGCAAGAAAGGAATATACATTTTTCATTCAAGGAATCTTTCATTGTTTTGTAAAGCCTGTTAATTTAATTTTAAAAATAAGCGTATAAACAATATATTCTGTCAATTATAATTTCTATCAGATATAACACAAACACAGTGTTATAGATGCTATTATAATTATAAAGGATAAAAGGGGATAAATACATTTATTTTTATTTACCACTTTTGTTCAGAACAAATCCAAAGTCTTGAGTTTTTTTTTGCAAATGTAAAAAGAGTTACTAAAATGCATGCAAAATGTTCATGTTCAAAAAGTTAGTTTTAAAACATACACAACTACTGTACACACTGAACACACATTGTAGCTCTAATCATTTACTCTATACAATAGAAATATAAAACAGCAAGAGTCCACAGCAGAGACTTACGCCCAGAAACCTAGTTACTAGAAGAGTCTTAACTATTGCTCTGCATGATCTTTTAATTTGCTAATTTATTAAATCATACAGTCATTTGATTTATAAATCAATCTGAAATGTCCTTCTTGAGATTTTGAAAAAGTGGTTATAATTACTGACCGAATCTATGTTTAAAAACATAAAATGTCAGAGTCATACTATTGTAGAAGTGTGTGGTTACAGAAGCAGTATGGGCCTTTCAAGTATTTGCTTTCTCATAACTCTCTCTTATGGATCATATAGACTCATAAGGAATTATTGTGCTAAATACAATAATCTAGTGACAAATTCATGTGTGTATTTGAAAACAACTAAAAAACTAGATCAGCAGAAATGAGGAGCTGAAGAAGAAAGAAAATATAGAAATAGATATTACAGTGGGTTACTGTACTGGAATATTGAGATTTCAGTATACGAAGCCCTGTAGTTCCCCAGTCCAGACCTCCGTGGATTGCATTTGGCCTTAGTAAGCACAGTTTTGAGCAATCATCTCACTGTCAAAGTACTTAGTCATGCACTAAGTAAAAAAAAGGGTGATTTTGGCTCATTGCTGAACAGAGGCAAATTCTTGCTGGACATTTGAACAAGTATGGACAGCCAGAGGGGCATCGGCTTCCGATATGATCCTTCCATCTCATTTCATAACCAAGAGGAAAAACCAATGTGGATTTTTTAAGGCAGATTAACAGGATACAATGATAAATTTGTTAAAATGGACAAGTCAATCACATGCAGATCTACCTCAGCACCATCATTTCAAAATTAGCTACATATCAAACACAAACACCTCCTTTCGCATTTGTCTCAGGCATCCCCCCTCCATGCATCTGTATCTCCATCTTGCAGCTACCCCTTGATTCACCCAGTTGGAATGGGGTTCAAACTTCCTAGTGCTATGGCCAGGAGGCTACCTATTAACCAAGTGGGTTGAACCAAACTTAACTCAGCAAGTATTCCAAATATTCAAAAAGCATTCAAGTCTTGGACGTTGTTGTCCCTAGTGAACTATGTTTTAGAAAGGTATTAAGTACTGTAGGTGATACAGTATGTGAGGCTTGACGTACAATATGGCATTTTGTTAAATAAGGAGAACTCAGTGGCTGGCTGACATCAGTGACAGGTGAGTCAGTGAATATTTGGAACATTCACGTCCAAGACTATAAAACATCATTGACAGAACTATAATTAAGAGGTTAAATTAAGCTTTGAAAGGTTGGGCAACTGAGTATTAGGCTTGTCTGGGAAAGGAGAAACATCATACAGTATAATGAATTACTGGATCAAACATTTGAAGAAATCGGCAAAAAACTTGTAAAAGATGAACAAAATATTACGAGTTTACTATTCATTTTTATAATCTATGTGAATATGCTTTGAAGTTGGGTAGATGATTACCTGGAAGCATGCCTGTTGTAAATAGCTTGTTCCAAAATAAGCAACTAATTTTCAGACTATTTAGTAGAAACACATAATATAAGCAATATAAGCAATTTTAGGTTTAAAGGAACAAATATATACAAGCACTTTTAAAGGGAAAAGGGATTTTGTATTATGTTAAATGCCACATCAGAGATAGAGGAAATGGAACAAATTTTGTGCTCTGAAAAAATGTCCCAATGTTGTTTGGTAAAAAAAAAAAGTCAAATGATTATGAATGGGGTGTAATGTGATTCCCTTCATGATTGCATAACTCACATTCAGCTGTCAAGCCACAGTTCCATTGTCTCTGATGTTTTCATGTGTTTTTCTTTTAAATGAGGAAGGAGTTTGACTATTGGTTTGATGGCCAATGCAAGGAAAATAAATGCTTTAGACATTCTGTGAAATCCAAACTTTGGCCAGTCTGTCATGAGTCAGATTCTGTTATTTTCATTTGACAAATCTGTTTTGCTATTGTGCTTGTTTAGATTTTGTTGTTTGCAGTGGATACAAGATGTAGAAATTACTTCACAGGGAGTTTTTAACAATTATCTTTGCTGAGCCATATTTTGGAGATGATAGTTATGATGCACAGCATAGACTTCATTAACTTTTTAATCCTTTAGAACTTTAGAATGTTCTCTGAAAATATAAGGCCTTGTAATGTTTTTTTGTTTGTTTGTCTGATGTTAGGTAATTAGCTATTATTAATCTTATTGATCTGATGATGATGTCTCCCAGTATAGAACTTCTAGCTCTTGACCAAAACATACTGCTACAACCTTTGCAGAAGCACAGGCAGAGACAAAAAGATTAAGTGTCTAATCTCCAACATGTTCACTGCCACCTGCCCCTTTTTCACTATGCATGCCCAGAAAGGTTATGCAATCAGCGTTTGGCTTTTGGTGAAAACACTGCATGGTCACAAGTCCCTGGAAAGTCACATGAATCTGTGTTTCTTTGATATTAAAAGTACTTTTGAGCAAATGACTTCATCTAAGATGACCCCAGAACACTCACAAAATGTACTGTGAAGTATCACAGTTTTATTGGCATGTGTAACTAACATGTGTAGTGGAATAAGCAGAGTAATGGTAAATAAAAATTATAGGTTAAAAGAAGAACTAGAAGTGAAGCGAGATCATTTGATTGAAATAAATAATATTTAAAATCATAGCAAAAGTATTTAATGCTAAAAGTACAACATCCTAGAAAGATTCTTATGTATTAGATATGCATAGAGTGAGAGTGGTGTAACATCCAAATACTAATATTACTGCCAATGAATTATTTGTCCAATTTTTGATGAATGCTAGGCCAGATCTTAAGTGGCAGTGTCTAGTCTATAAGCTGCAGCCTGTTTTCCGAATGGGCTAAACCACTTAGCATTCCCTAGCATGAAGTTACTTAACTGAATTCAAATGACTTTATTTTCTAGGGCATGAAATACTAAATAAACAAAAAACTTTGAGATTCTACCTCTTGGTTCTGACAGTGATAAACGATAAATCACAGCATGGAATTTTATAAAAACAGCACAAACTAAAACGACTTTAAAGCTTGACTAACAGCCTTGTCAGCATTATTTCATTATAATAAAAGAAATGCTCAGATTCCCTTGTCTCAAAAGCTTTGTTCTATACTTGCACAATTGACTTTTTAATTGTTAATTAAATTATGTCACATTATTTTCTCACCAGCAGAGGTTTCTAATGATTAATTTTTCTCCTGGCATTGCCATTGGGTAAGAGGGTAATATGCCGTAAATCAAGAAGGTGAAGAATCCAGAGCCCCAATCTGAAAGAGCGTGGTTGGGACCCCCTCAAGAAATGACAAAGAAAAGGGATGATAAGGAAGAACGAGAAACTGGTAGAAAAAAGGAAAAGGAGATTACAGCTATGAGGTTGAGAGAAAAGTATCCAACCAGAAAGAGGCGGGACTCTGGCCTACCTGAGAAAGGAATGTGGTGATCTGCCTAAGTGGGCTGATGGTTTGTGACAGTCCCCCCTCTGCTCCACTTTGCCCGGTTGGTATGGCAAATCGTCCTATTACCTGCTGGGGGCATGAATCCCTCTTTGTGCTGCCACTGTCACGCTGCATTAGTCCGACAATGGCCCCAGATATTTTATATGAAATTCGCTCTCGCCAGTGATTAGTGGGGACCAAGTTAAGTCATAGCAACAGAGAACTATGCATTAGCTGGGCCCTGGTTGTCGGCAGACTGGGAAATCCCTATTCAAACGGTTTAATAAAACAATCTAAAGGGCGTGTGAATCGTGAAAAGTGCTTTCTCTTCAGCTTAATCTCATGGTTGCAAAGATATTGTGCTCCAAGCAGGGCCCAGCAGGGTGTGGGCTAAGGTCCCCCATCAACCCCATTTACTGCACCCCTTCTTTCTTTCTTAAAGCAAGTTAATGATATACCGGTGTGCTGGCCTCCCCCCGGAATGGAGAAACATGCATTTTATGAAAAGGAAGGACCTCCTATCACATCCTAAATGGTAACAGTTTCTCATCTAAAGGTCAGAGGTTATAACCTGCATTCCCTGACCTTTCCTAGCCTGGTTAAGTTGATTATTACCATACTGAAACAAATTAAGTATAGTTTTCTTCATAAATTGAATGATTTTCTACTCATGTTTTTATTTACTAATTAGAGAAGTTAATTGCACACACAGAGATGTTGATGCACTTGTCAATTTTTAATAAATTTTAGTTATCAGGAATTGCACATAATATTTTTATCCATATAGAGTCACATGAAGTATAACAGACCTTCAGAATAATTTAGTCTGTTTCTACATTTTTTAAATGCCTACAGAAACAGTTTGAAATAGAAGTAAAAAATTAGAAGAAAAGACAACATATGGTAGAAATTAGAAAAAGGCCACATACAGTATATGAATAAGGATCTCTAATAAAATTATCTACTTTATGGAAAACAGGACTGCAGACACATCTAGCCATTTATGCCCTTAGCTTAATTAGGGCAGAGAGAAGATCCTAGAACATCTGATGTAATTGCAGATATGCTTCTATATTACGGTATAACTGTAATATGGGGAAATGCCAATTTCCTTATTTTCACCCTTTTCACTTTAATATTTTGTGTTTTTTTGTCTTTTACATAATGT